CTCCAAAATCGCCAAACCCTTGCATACTGCAATCGCTTCGTACTTCAAGTTGCTTCACTTCTACAGAAAGAAATCTTATTTCTTCTCCCCTTTGCGAGTGAGCTTGTTATGACCGATACAGCTATGAGTTACTCGTAATTCAGCAGCCGCGAATATTATCCAGATGTACAGAATATTGAGAATAATTAAACGATGCGTTTTGGCTAGAAATTATTGCAAGATTGTTTACCACCCACTTACAACAAAGAAACGAATCTGTATGACGTTAGCCTCCTGGCAATTATGGTGCTTAAATAAATGGTTGCACAAAACCCATTTTTTTGACATCCTCCTCACCCACCGAATGAATAATTCAGAGTTGAATTCAGAGTTTTTAAATTTCTGCAATCAAGCGTTTGTTCTTCGTATGAAAACACAAGAATAAAAATGCCCACATTACAAACTTCAGATTTCATCGGGGCTAACTACTGGGCCGCCGATCTGAATTTTGAACATCAGCGGTATGCGTGAAGCATTAGCTGTCATAAAGCGATAAAAGATGAAAATTCCAAAAAAAAAAAAAAATGGTATTCATGAGACCTAAATCGAATTACACAGTTCATAAGAGGTCATTCTCTTAGGAATATGTACAAATATGTGTTCTGTACATTTTGCGCTATTTGTGAGAAGTTCCAAAGAAAAAAAACGGGTCGAATTGCATTTCTGGGCTTAAAATTCTGCGAAAATGTTAAACGCCATTGTTCGTTTAGACAGGCAGAGACGTAATTTTTCGTGTTTACAGAGATGCAATTAAGGGTAAATCGCATTCACCTGCTTGAAGGCTTTTAACAGGAATCCTTTCGACCATAAGGAAAATACAATTTGAGCTCATTTCCAAGCAAACACATAGCCTCCTCAATCAGTTTCTCGCGGCCGTCGAAGGGCACTCACTCCAATTGAAAATAGCATTTGACAAGAGCAACCTTCGCGGATAATTTTTTTGCCGCCACTTTACCTTTTCCCTTTCCTCAAAAAACGGAAAAACACCAGATCGCGCGTAAAGTAATTACGGTGATGTCTATTTTTGTTTTCATGCTGCTGTGCTTGTTAAATAAACAGCTGTCGTTTGGAACTTTCATATTGGAGTCTCTTAGGTGCCGCTCTGGATTGCGACGACTTCGAAATTCTTCGGGAATACTTCGGTAGGAGTCGGAGCACCTCGGATGCCTTCAACGCAGAAGTTTTGTTATCCGTTGACAGCGGTATTGCATTTAGGAAAAAGGAAGTTTTACTTGCCTCGATTTCATCCACTAAACCCAGTTCTCCTTGCTCATCTCCGAGCACATCGACTAAGACCGGAAGGAAAAAGTCAAAAATTACCTGCGCAATTTTTTTCGCTGAAGTTTACGGGGGGTGACAACTCTTACAAACGCTGTTTCGGGACAAAGCCAAAATTGTTCCGGGAATCTGGAGATTTCTGCGGGAATCGGGACACTTGGAAATTTTACCGGGAAACACGCGATAATTTCGGGACTTTGCAGAAAAAAATCGGGACATCGAAGGAATTTTTATTTCACGTTTTTATTTACGTTAAACTCGGTAAGTTAGGCATGAAATCTTCTGTAAATGAAAATATTCAAACAGCGTGTGCAGCGCCGCGGCTTGTGGTTTACACAAACCAATCAGAAACGCACCCTACTGGGTGGGCACACAGTTGGGTTCCACACTCCATTTAGCCAAGTGCAACCTTCACAGCAGTCACGTCCAGATCCGTTTCAGGTATAAACCCATCAAACATGGTTCCGTGTATGGTTAGCGACGGTTTTAACTTATTCCTCGCTTTGTAAGCATCAGTGAGGTCTATTTAAGAAACAAGTTTGGATTCTATAGGCGAAAAGAGCAAACCTAGCAGCCCCGTAGGCTAGGGGGGTTCGGACGAGCTTCACCTGCTGTGGCAATCAAAGATTGTGATGCTGCCCTCTTTCCAAATATTAGCATTCTTCTCCAAATTTCCCGCACAATTCCAGTCACATCGTGCGAATGCGAACAAATTGCAAGCACATTGCGACGACTGAATAACTACATGCGTGCATCGATGGGAAAAGATCGCTTGTCCCATCTTGCGCTTTTGCACATTCCCTACATTACCCCTGTGGACTTGGACACGGCAGTAGTAGACCGTTATGCTCGGCTACACCCCCATCGACTTCAACCGGAAAATCTTCTGCAACAACGTTAAGTTTAACATTTAAAGGTCCGTTTTAAGCGAAAAAAAAAACCACCAGGAAAAAACCAGCCTACGGGCCTGCTTAGGCTATAGCGACCATGGCACGACCAATAAAATGTAAGTAAAACAGTTTGAAGTAAATATCCTAATGTTATCCGGATGCTTTCCAACTTTCCGTGTATTACTGTTGTAATTCTTAGCAAAAGTAATGTTTTCGCTTTTTGTATCGGGTGGGAAGTCATTTGAGAAATGGGAAGTCGAGGATATATGCGCCCGGCTAACGCAAAACGTGTTGGAGGAACATTGTGGATGTTTCAGGAAAAATAAAGTGCGTGGGAGCACACTGCTTTCGTCGCTAAAAGATGGAACTCTAAAGACGGACCTCAAAGACATCGGAGTAAAGGCTCTTGGTAAGAGTTCGCATTTTATAAATTAGCTCTGCGTCAGTTCTTATAAAATTCTCAAAAAATCTTCTCAGAAAAAACAATTAGGTTGCAAAACGTTGCTGATAATAGGCCATTTCACGATTTACGGCGCCATCTTGACGGGTAGGCAAAGCGGTCAGAAATTACAGTGCTTTTATGGGAATCCCATGGCAAATAACTTTTCCCAAAATCGAATTTTACGAAATTTTTGAATCGCAATGTTAAAACACTGAGCAGAAGATTGTATTCACCAAGTTTGAAGGATATGTAGCTTGGCTAAGACGCGCTCAAGTAAGAATATATGCTGGAAATTCTAAAAATTTCCAGAAAAGTATCGCAAAAATTCGGGATGATGATCCAAATTTCCGGGACGACTTAAGTTAAGACCAAGTATTGCTTAAACAGAGTTTGTCACCCCCCATGAAGTTTGCAGGGGGAATACAAATCAAAGCTTGTCACGTATCTTGTATATAAGTTTCAGCAATGCCAGTGGCGAATGCTAACGAAATAGGGATAACTTTTCCAAGCGGCCCACGAGATGGTAATGTTTACATGTTCCTTGAGCGTAAATGACGTCATAAAGCAATAAAATTGACGTCATATATCAATACTGACGTTTGTAGTTAACTTAACTTTATGTAGCTAACTAAACCTTATGTAACCTTACGTTTACGTTCGAATCACAACGAGCCAATCAAAGTTAGGGCAGAGAACATTTGACTTCGCCTGTGCGTCTCAATCGATGTCACCCCTTCGTGCCTAATAAACGCAAATGTCCATGAAAATCGGGTGTATTTGAAAAGTGAATGAATAAATAAAGATAGAAATGAATAGATAAACGTATGATAGATGCGACAAAAAATGTAGGAAACGCTAGAATGCCGATATCATGGTTAATTTTTTTTCCAGTCCAAGAGAAGTAAAGGTTTTGAGATGCGGTAGAATCCTGTGAAATGTTTTTCACAAGCAAAATGTATTGTAACTCATCTAATATTAGTAATTAAAGTTGAAATCATTTGCTGAAATTCTGGCACATTAATGTTCCGCTGCCTAAATAGAATTTAGGAAGAAGTTCGCAGATTTTTCTTGAATCTCAAAAATTTATTCCTGCAAAAGAAAAAAAATTTTCAAAGAGCTTTGTAGAACCCTCGCTAAACTTTGGATACGTTAAAAGGACAGCTCAAACAGTTTTGTCCGGGAAAATTGAGAATTTTTTTTTTCTGGAAGCGACAGTAGAGAGATGACCGAACGGCAAATGTTAATTACCTCTGAACCAATTGTAGCTCTTTTGTTAAATTCAGTACAAAAAAGTATTACATTTAATTGTCGCGAAGTCGTTCCTCGCGAGAGCGACATTCAGCGACAAGCAGGCTAGCCAAAGATCGTTGGATCATTACTGAAGCGAGTTCAGGCGTAAAATTCGGCACGAATTCGAACACTTCCTCAGTCTGAAATTCGAACACTTCCTAAAATTCGAACACTTCCTCAGTCTGAAAGAAAAAACAGAGAGGTTCCTGTTTAATTTAGCACCTACCATGGTGTGATTTTCCCAGTTATTGCATTGCAATCCAAATCCTCTTCGGTGATCGTCCTCAAATGCATACCATCGGTGAATCGAGGAAATTGAAATAATGAAAATAAAGTACAGAAATCAATCTTGAAAGCTACTTAAACGATAAAAAAGCTTTCCTTTGGTAACGCCCAAAAACTTGAAATCGACATGAACTGTAAAATGAAGAAATAAACAATATGCCTGCGTCATGTCTTCACCACTCTGGTTACCATAGAAACCCATCCAACAAAAAAATATTCGCTGATGATGAATACACAATGAAGACTGCATTAACAATAATAATAATAATAATAATAATAATATTAATAATAGTAACGATAGAAAAAGATGTTTTATGTTTTTATGTCTTGTCACGAGCGTGGGACAAAAAAAAAAACAACTGAGTCCCCATAAGGAATCAAGCCTCAGACATTCAGATTCCAAGTTCCGATGCTCCACTGAGACTCTTAAGGCGAGCAAGCCTCATTACGAAGTTCATAGACGACTTGCGGGCTGTATACGGCTAGAATCGGCAGTGTCGATTTTCTTTGTCCCACGCTCGTGGCAAGACGATAAACATCTTTGTCTATTTCTTTACCGAGCTCAAAACCTACCATCTTTCTTATTCTAGTTAGAATAATGATAATGCTAATAATATAGTTAACTCTCTCGTAAGCGGGCACCCTCGGGAATTACAAAAAGCGTCCGTTAGTAGAACTGCTCGCCTACGCAAACTATTCCCATGAGGGGAGACCAAAGAAAAATAGGGTAGATGTCCGCTCTTGAGAGAGTGTTACGGCAAAGAACGAAAAGCGGCTTAATTTACTGGGATTTTCTCTTTCTTTATTAAGAATCTATCTTATATTTCCGAAACATTTCCCAGCCCAAAAAAACTAGAAAAAGATAACGTGAGTAACATGACTGGCAAATTTCCAAAACTTTTTCCGTCTTAATTTTTACAAGCTGTGAGAATCCCCATTTTCTCGCAAAAGGGTCCTTGTCCAAAGTTCACGAACTTCCATTGCGTCTGGCTTGAATTGTTGCCGGCTTCCCAGTTCTTTGCCTGACTTCAGTTCTTGAACTCGCAGTAAGAACGTGAGAAAAGGTGGTAAGTAAGTCTATTTGTATTCACAGTGGGCAACGAGCAGTCTTCCTTTCCGGCGAAGTCCGTCGCGCCGCGCGAAGCCCTAAGGGTGAGGCTTATAGAGTTTCCCGCGGCCCGTTAACATCAGTTTCTCTTTTCGCTGCTTTTGTACCTTTTTCTTTACTCGCGCAACGAACTGTGGGAAGAGGAAGGACCGCTCGTAGAGGTTATTCATGGAATTTCTCTGTATTTAATTAGATGGATGTTCTCCTTGATATTTTTTAAAAGATCTTCAGCTGTTAACTCCGGTGATGAAGTTTTCGGTGCCTTCATCGAAACGTACGGTTTTAACTGGTGAAGAAAGCAAAGAGAAATACACAACAAGTCTGTTAAAACTGTAGAGTTTTAAAAATGTTTTTTGGTGGTCTTGGTGCTGTGGTTTGTGAGACAGGAACTCACGAGGTCAGAAGAAACACGCGCGCAAGAAAGAGGGTCGCATATCACGCGAAAGCTCTCGCGCAACTGACGCATCGGTATGAAACAATCGCTAGTGAGTGGTCAATTTATGGAGGTTTCGCCCCACAACGAGTTCGCCCTCGACCACTTCGCCTCCATCACGTCGGGTTCCGCCCAACAAATAGAACAAGTCCACCCCTTGATGTTTCTTTCATGACGGTCTGGGTTAAGGTCCAAATATTTCGGATTCGTCAGAAAACTGACACGTTTTTCCTTGAGGAAACAAGTTGAAAGATTTGCTGTGCATAACATCTCTTAAAGACCATAATTTCAGGCGTGAATACTTGCTAAAATTTAGCAGCAACCTTTGGTAGTTTGATACAAAAATGTACGTTGGGCAGGTTTTCCCACAATTATGTTGATATCTAGGCTGCGAAGTCCCCAGCAACAGTTGTATGCATAAAATTTTCTTCAAAAAGGTTTACATCGACTGACCGGTTTCTTACCAGGATAAATAAAGTTATTATTATTATTATTATTATTATTATTATTATTATTATTATTACATGGATAGAGGATGTTAGCGCTTAAATTATATAAAAAATTTTGTGCCATGTACTGTTGCTGTAGATTCACATAAGAGTTTGAGACATCTGTAAACCTTAGTCAGCTCTGTTAGCCAACTGTAAGTTTAAGCGAGGATACAACTGGTAAGCAAAGTCTGTAAAAAATTAGTGGTCCAAGATTAAACAATTTAATTCCCCTACTCTCTTCCCAAGAATTCTTATGATGAAAGAAGATGTTATTAAGTAAATGACACAGGCATACTCAGAGAAAATGAACTAAGGTAGTCAAAATAGGAGTCGAACGTACAACCTAACAATTAGTAATTCTCATGATGTAAGTTTTGAGAATTTGGATCAACAAATAATCTCCTAGTTGATGTTTTTTTTTTATTCTCATCACTTGTCAGCTTGGTATTGTTTTCATATTGTTGGGAGAAACTCTGTCTTGGGTCACCCATGGGAGTTAAAGGTTAAGGTTAACTTCAAATGTTACCTCAAAGCCTGTCAGGTCTGGAACAACAAACTGTGGAACTTTTCTTTGAGCGATGATGTAACCAGCTGCACCGAAAGAGAGAGAAGAGACCCATTTTAGTCGACAGTACTCATCATTAATTGGAGGCGCAGTGGCCTTATGGTTGGTGCACTTGACTCCGGATCAAGTGGTCCGGGTTCAAGCCCAGCCGGGGACATTGTGTTGTGTTCTTAAGCAAGACAGTTTACTCTACCAGGGCCTCTCTCCACCCAGGTGTATTAAATGGGTACCGGCAAATTTAATGCTGGGGGTAACCCTGTGATGGATTAGCAGCCCATCCAAGGGGGGTAGAAGTACCCCAAGTCGCTTCATGTTACGGAAACCGGAGTTAAGCGCCGGCCTGACGAGCCACATGGCTCACGTATAGGCTTTACCTACCTTTACTCATTATTAATGAAACATTTTGCAATAATTTATAGATTATTTAATACAGTAAATTATGCACCATTTTGATTGGTTCTTACTTGTGATCAGTCAATATAATCTAACAGCAATTTGCTTTTTCATCATATAAAACAAGTAGATGCCATAGGTCAGTTCAGTATTTAGGTCAGATCAGATGTAAAGAGAGTTGAAGAAACTTTTAAAATTAACAAATTCTTGAGATTTTGCAAGCAATTTTTTAAAAGAAAGAGAAAAGAAAAAAAAAAGTCCTTTTCATAATAATAATAATAATAGTAATAATATTTATATAGCGCACACATCAAAAGCTTCTCGTGGCACTTTACAATTCTATAAAATAATAAAATAACCTAATGCATATAAATAAAATTCAATCAAACAGAAGAGTATTACTAGTTACAAATTTTGAAAAGAGAAAAGTCTTGATGTTCTTTTTGAAAATAGTTACGGAGCTAGATTTACAAATTGAAAAAGGAATACTGTTCCACAACTTAGGTGCGCACACAGAAAAAGCTCTGTCCCCGTAGGTCTTTGACACAGGTTGCACAAGATAGTCCACAGAGCTAGAATGTAAAGATCTCGATGATAACTTGATCTTGAGTAGATCAGAAACATATGATGGAAAGAGACCATTGACGGACTTGTACACCAAGTGAGACTTTACACCTAGTGACTCTTTTCTCTTTTTTTTTTCTTTTTTTTTTTCTCTTTTTCTTTTCTCTTTTTCTCTCACAGTGCCATCATCCAAGCCAAAGCTTATCCTGGTTACCATAGCATGAAGCAACTAGAAGTGTAACTACTCCCCCCTGGATGAGATGCTAGTCCATCACAATTACCCACCCAGCATTTTATCAGGCTCCCCCCCTTAATTAATTCACTGGTACCCATTTCTACTCTTGCATAGAGAGAGGCGCTGCAAGAGTAAAGCTTTTTGCCCAAGATCACAACACATTGGCCCAGCAAGCTCTAGAACCCAGACCCCTCAACCCAGAGTCTACCACACCAACCATTGGGCCAATGCATCTCCCTCAAAGGCCAAGAAAACAACATAATTTAAGGGATAGTGGTTATAATCTTGAACAAGTTCCATACAATACTAAGTTTTTTAACATGATTCATTTTCATATGGGGTTTCACATTACTGGAATAATTTTCCAAACTCTGCCAAATATGCCAAGTCTATAGACCACTTTCATAAATGGCTGCCATATTAATATTCTTTTGTTTAAATTCAAATTAGCTTTTCTGGCCTTGTACTCCAGTACAAAATTCAAAAGAATACATTATCTGAAGCGAGGCCAGAAAGGCTAATTTAAATTTAAACAAAAGAATATTAATCCGGCAGCCATTTATGAAAGTGGTCAATAACAGGGTTCCAGAAATGCATAAAAAATTTAGTATTTAAAGGTTGTACATGCCACTCCTGTTCTTCAAAGATTAGGTTTTTTTTAAATTATTTTTTAATTTATTTTATTTTTTAAATGATCAAACTTTTTTAATTGTTAGTTTTTTAGGTAAATAGTCCTTTGATATGTTTATATATATAGTTTCTTGATTATGACTATTTTTTAAACAACAACAACAACATTCTAATCAGAGAATGTTTAGAAGTACATTTGATAATAAAAATTAACGGTAAAAAACTACGACGTTTCGAAGTCTGCATGACCTCATTATCAAGTAAAATGTTAAAACTGATGTAAAATTGTAGCTCAGAGATTATATACAAATAAAATGTGATAACTTCATTAGAATAATGAGCGTTCATTGTTATTGGTGTTTAGCATGTCAGATCGTGCAGTATATGTTTAAATAAATACTTTTGCACGTATTGAGTCAGACTGCGTGTTTAGCTTTGGTTTTTGTTCGCGAATGAATA